CCTTCCAGCCTTTCCTCTCTTTAATGGGAACCATGTGAATTACCCTCAAAAGAGGAACATTCCTAAACTATCTGGGATGGTTTGATGATCTTTATTTAATCTGTCTCTTCTAAGTTTCAACTCTTATGTGGTGCCCATAGTTGTAAAATATTTTCTAATCAGTATTCCATCTGGACCGATTTAGATACATTAGTGAATTTTGCTAAATGGCCCGACTTTTGACTGAGCATCTAGGTGAAACCAATTGCTCAACAAACAGTGAATTCTAATTGTGAACAATGCACGGACCACCCTTCCCTCAGGTCATGACGATCGTTGGTACCGATGTGACCTATCTGGCTTTTCCTTCAAGGCTTCCATAGCTAAAAACAGTTCAGAAAGTGACCATTCAGTTTCGATTTAACACTAGAAAACACTCCGGACACAAAGGAATACAAGTTCGCCTTTGTTCTCATTTGGGCTTTTACATCTGTAAGTGAGGAATTCTCTCATCAAGAGGACTCCAGGAAGTCTGCTTCTCTTCCACGCCAGAAGACAGATGTCTCCTTCTGTGTGGTTTGAATGAGAATGGCTCATATATTTGAAAGTTTGGTTCCCAGTAGGGGAACTATTAGGAAAGACTAGGAGGCGTGACCTTGTTGGATGGGGCGTGGCCTGTCCCTGGGCGTGGCCAAGCACTGCCCTGTTGCCCGGTGATTGTAGATACAATGTTAAGCTCTCTGCTATGCTCAGGTGCCACACCCACCTGTCTGCTGCCATGCTCCCCACCAGACGGTCATGGGTCAACGGGGAATGTCACAAATAACAGAGAAAATCAAAGCTTGAAAAATACTAACAGGTTTCCTTGCTACAGCCCTTTTGTGAATTTCCCTACCTGCAGCTCCATATGTAAAACAAAGCAGCCACAGGCAGCAGCATTTTCCAGGTGTTTTTAATCACAAAATTTGCTTTGACTTTTCTCAGTCCTCTGAAATAAGAGTCCCATAAAATACATTTGGGGAAATGTTAAAGCCGATGTACGCAGCAAAAACTGTGACCTCAAGGGTCGGTGCATTCCATTCCACTTGCTTACATGAGTGTTGACATACACAAAGCCAGAAATAGGAACCATGAAGAGCAGTTCAATGCACGTCTAAAAATAAGTGTAAGAACTTATACAACGGGGATGGGTCTCTGCTGGCTGCCTATTGTGTGCTCTACAAAAGCATAACTCAGATGTTTTGTGCTGTGTTTAATGACACACAGGTTATGTGACATCAGTGGAATACTTGGCTTTAGTTCAGCTGCTTCAAAATAAGAGTCAAGAGACCCCCGATGCAGTCACAGGACAATAGACAGTATCTGTAACCAGTCAAGACTCACACGGGGAGAAAGGCCACCATGGCTGAGTCTGAATGGACAGGTATATTACAGGACACAAGGTGCTAGGACTCAAGGCAAACCTGTGCATGGGCTTTGTTCCACGAGGCCCCTTCAGGGGTGCAGAAGAGGTGAGGGGGGAACTGAACATATGCAAATAGAATTGAAAGTCACGGGAAGGGAGAAGAGCTGGCTAGGCTTCTATAAACCCAAGGGACTCTGGCTGTGGCGCCTGGTCTGTTCCTGCAGCACAAACTTTGACCTCAGTGATATAAGGGACAACTCTGCAGCCTGCTGGCTTCACAAGGCCCCCAGAGCACAGCACGTGGTGGGGAGGGGATTCCAGACCTGCCAGGAGCAGACTACGGCAGGGAGCCAGGATCAATGGACACACTCAGAATGGATGGCAGCCTCTACCCTTCTGGCAAGCTGCTTCAACAGTGTAGGGAAAACCCAGATATCCCTATGGGAGACGGGCAGCGTCTCCTCAGCTTTGAACAGGCAGTTTGTGTTATTAAAAGGTCACAGTGTTTTAAAGATGTCTCCTCCCACAAATCCTAAAATGTCCTCATTGCAAGGGCCCTCCAAAGAATGCCCATGAGGCACCTGAAGAGCTGGGAAGGAACGGCACTGCAACGCCTCAGCTCTCACAAACATGGGACTACAGTCCTGCTGGCCACCAATGGGTGCATGTGGTGGCAAGCAAAGGAGTCCAAGCGAGAAGCCTGTCACAAGCATGACGTGGTGGCCTTAAGAGCAATCTCATAATCAAATGGATTTTAGATTTGTCAGGAGAGAGAAAGAAAACACACACACACACACACACACACACACACATAAAATAGCAGGGAATATTCTCTGCAGGAATCAATAATATGAAATGGAAGTCTGGGGCAAAGAAAGGAAGGGGCTAGTGGCAACACTACTTGAAATGTTTTAATCAGCTCTCACTGTAACAATAATAGTCACTATGTGAGCGCTGAAGAGAAACATTAGCAGAGGGGAGCAGCAAGCACTCAGAACTTCAGTTTCTGCCACTAAAATAATGCTCTGCCCTTCCTGGACATTTAGTATACTTCCATGTGCCAGGAATATCTCTATTGTTTCTAAACAAATGACATCAAGCCTATAAATTTGTAATTAGATATTGAAGTATTTTCTTTTCTTTCTTTCTTTCTTTTTTTTTTTTTCTCTAACATTTGGCCTCCCATCCGTCTGGACAAGGAGTGCACCCTGGCCTGGACCAGGCTGTAATTCAGCCTCAGGCTTCTTGGCATGTGACCCTTGGGCAGTTTTGCTAGCCTCTGGTTTCCACACAGGCAATGAAGACTTCACTCCCCACCCAAGTTTCTGCCAGAGTGAAACAAAATGGTGCATCTAAAGCACTCGGCAAACACCTGACAAGACACCTCAGTGCTCAGTGTGAGGTGCTATTATGCTAAATAATCCACTATATGAAAAACATACTGAAAAGTCCAGTCCTCCCTTGTTGGACACATAGGTTATTTCCAGCCAGGCACTCTACCCACTGGGCCATAGTTTACTTGTAATTTTTACTTTGAACTTGTTATGGATTTGAAGGACTTGGCATGCAATACAGAAGTTCCCTGTCTCTGTACCCAGTTTCTCCCGATGGTAACATTCTACTTACTAACCACAGTACTACATAACCCCAGGGTAACAGAATGCCCTCTGATTTCTGCAGGCTTACATGTACTCAGCTGTACATATGTGTACGGCTATAGGGCAATGCGATCTTATCACATTGGCGAAGTCCTATAACCAGGGCCTCAGTCGAATGCAGATCTGCCCATCACCACAAAGGTCCTTTATAATTATACCCACGCTACTCATCCCCCACCCTGTCCCAAAACTCTGGCATCTACTAATGTCTTCTTTCACTTTATACCGTTTACAAAGTGAAGCCACAGAGGTCGTAGAAATCAGCTATTTTCATTCCGCTAACGTCCTCGAACTCTGTCTAGGTAGCTCTAGATATCAATGGTTTGTTCCACTTATTGCTGAGTAGTATTCCGCTGCATGGACACCACCATTTATTTAATTGTTTGTCTGCTGAAGGACATTGAGTTGCTTCTAGTAACTGGCCAATACAAATAAATCTGCTCATAATATTTGCTTTTGTGGAGCTAACACGGAGGCTCTACCACTGAGCCACAACCCAGATGGCCCTAAACATCGGTGCATAGTTGTCCCCATAATTGCTCTTACTTCTTTGGTTAAATGCTCAGGAGCACTGGTGTTGGGTTTTATGCAAGGTATGTGTTTATATATAGCACTGCTAGGGTACTTTCCAGAATGCAGCACCATCTTCCACGGTCGCCAGCCATGGATGAAAGATCCGGTCCCTGAGAGTCATGACTCCATCGAGAGACTTCCTTCCCTTCGGAGTGCAGGGAGGCCTCGGTGCAGCACCATTTGCATTTCTGTCATGGCCAACAATGTCAAAGACATATTTCTATGTTTTGCTGTGAGGGATAATGCCAGAGTAGGTATCTTTACATAGAAATATGTTAATTCCTACAAATAGATTCTTCAAAGAGGAATTGCTCAGTAGGAATTGAAAATAGGTTGATTAAAAGCCTTATTAATCCCCAAAGTACCAATTGATATTCCACTACCAGCACATGTATGCTCCGACTGTAAAGTGTGGCGGGCCTACCGTGTCAAATTCTCTAATACATGCTAGCCCATCCTTAGATGCTTAAACACCTGTGCATGTAAGACCCAGAATACAGTTAAGGCTATAGTGTTTTGTTTAGGGGGTAACAAGGACAAAGGTCTATCTTCAAAACAGATGTGGCCTTTAAAAACATTCTCCATCTTCAGTTGGCTGGATCCTTGGGTTCTGCCAGCTAGATCCCAAACCCTCACTGTCTCTTTCAAGAGGTCATAAAGAAAATCTTTGCAACAACATCTACACTACCGAAGAAACAAATCAAAACGAGGCTTATGAAAAGTCTTATCGGAGCAGGAAACAAACCAACAAAGACAACTTCTGTAAGGATGCCCCAGGTTCAGTCGTGCATGGGACATGTGAAGGAAAACTCCCGAGAAGAAGCTGTGTCTGCAGAGATGGACAGGCTGGTCAGAAATGCCCTAAGTGGAGAGACTGGAGCCGAAGGGTCCAAAGGCAAAGAGCCCTGACTTGGAACAACTCTAACCCTCCTGAACATTTCTTGCCAACCTTTGTGTCAGAATTAACATCTTGTTACGAATAGACTAAAAAACAACAAACAAACAAAAAACTTTTTAGAATTAATTAACTAAAAGACCACAAGTTTCTACGAACCCACAAGCTAAAAATGTCATCAGAGAGCACCTTGGGCCGATGGAAAAGCTTCCCCCATCTCTCGGTTACCACCTCTCTAGTGTATCTCCCAATGTAGTTTAAACGTGCCTTGATTTATGATGTTCTTGGTCTGTAAAACTATGCAACTTCATGAAACTGCTTCCACTTTGGAACAGGGAATTTGGGGTCACCTGGATCTGTGTTCCGGGGCCATGGCCACTCAGAATTGGCTACAAAATAAACTACCTATTATTCCCTTAAAGATGATAGCCGTGGTTCTGTGTTGACAGACATGTCCATCAAATGTTAGGAAGAAGGACAACTCCTTTACCTTTGTGGGCGACATGGCACAGGTCCTCCTGCATCTTGGAGAACTCGGATGAGGCTTCAGAACCATCCGAGTAAGACTTCTCTTCGCCCAGGTCCAATGTTGACAAATTAGGATTGGAAGAGTGCAGCCTCAGTGGGCCGGAAAAGGGTTTGGGGACCTAAAGTGAGAGCAAAGGAGGAGGTTTCTACTCAGACCCGAGCCTCCATGACTGGAACTGACTAAGGACGCATCTTAGAGGTGCATCTTCCCACCAAGGGATCACCTCGCAGAAAACTGAAGGCAAACCCAGGAGGATGGTCTCCATGCCCCTTGCGTCAGATACTATAGTGGGCAGGAAATCACAAGCTGTCTCAGAAATGATGGAAGCTTGAGAGCCATAGGTTGAAGTGACAGCAAATGTCCCCACATAACTAGGCTGTCGGAGCAAATCAGCTCCAGGTAATTGTCTTTACTTGTATGTGGAGCATCTAGAAAACAAACCCTCGGCTCATATTTGCACGTGCAATATTCTTTACTCTGAAAGCATCTAAGTTCAACCCTGCAAGGGGCGCTGAGAGCTTGAAGAAAAATGGCGGAAGGGCCTGTGGGACAGAGGCTCAGGCCTGCACTCTAGGAGAAGATAGGCCCACTCTGAGGGAGGATAGCGGCAGAGGTAGGTCAGAGTATTAGGCCACAGCAGCCACCAGGCAAGGCACAGTGTCATAGACAAGCTAGATGTTAAAGAAGAAAAGACCCCAAACCCTCACACCAGGGGCAGTCCCTCCAATGCCAAGCCATTTCCCTCAGGAAAATTGCCCCTGCCCTACTATCCTCACGGCCTTATCCTTGTAACCAGAAGGTCTCAGTGACAGGAGTCATCCCTCCTCACAGGGTACAGAGATCAGCTCCGGAATGCTCACTTTTCCGTCCTGTTTGAGTCAGGGCCCCTGCTCTGGTGTGCAGCATGGTACCGCGAGGAAAGCCAGCGTGACGGGAAGCGAGGGTTACCTGCAGCGTTCCTTTAGCATCTTTGCCAATAGCTCGGGACCGCCACCGCCTGTGTGATCGCTTTTCCTTTTTGGGACTTTCAAAAGCTCCACCCTTCGTTTCAAAAGAGGAAAGAGAGTACAGACAGTAAGGTCCACCAAAACTACAGGGAAGTGACCAAAGCCACCCCCCTGAGTTTGGCTGAAGCAGCCGGACGGACAACACCCCACTGTTAGTCAAGTGTAGGGGACAAGAGAGGAGAGGAAGGCAGAAGGTGAACCAAAGAGCAGTAGGCTAACCTGGATGGCGTTGATGGCCGGCGCCGAGTATGTCCGATGCAGGACATCCATGCTCTGTAAGAGCTGACTCATTTCCAGCAGATAGGCGTGGCAGTGTGCCAGGTCTGCGGGATAAAGGGCAGATGTTCACAACTGTCCACTAGCACCAGGGAGTACCAGGCTCTGTATCTGTGTATTTGATTTCCCCCTTTACATCCCTCCACACAGGCAGAAAAGGTCATAGGTGATGGAGGTTTATGACGTGGATCTAGGCTGCCTTGATTTAAATCTACTTGGTCAACTGTGACACATGGTCTCTGTACCTCAGTTTTCTCATATGGGAAACAGGGAAAATTACACATGTAGCCATAGTGTTGAGAGTTAAATGATTTGATGTGTGCAGAGGGCTACACCGCCACCACAGCATCCCTAATCCAGCAGCAACAGGCGCTAAGCTATACTGGTATCCGGGGACCTGTCTCAGGACAATCACGAGCCTCTGCAGATGGGCCTCAGCTGACAGAAGAGCAAGGTTAGACCAGACCCTAGTCACTCTCTCAAGAAGCAGCCCACTCCACCGCTGACTGTGATGGTGTCTCCGCTGAGCAATGGAGACCTGAATGCTTCAACATCGTGGCTCTCAAGCTTCCAATGCGTGCTTGTGAGTCCACAGATTGTAGGCTCTACCCCCAGTTCACAGTTCATACAACTTGTTTGGGCCTGGGAATGGGCATTTTTAATAAAGCCAGGCCAGTCTGCTGATGCTGGTCCAGGAACAACCCTAGGGCTAGTGGGTGGAGCTAGTAAGTGACAGCGATGGAGGGACAGAAACTGCATGCTCAGTGGGAACCACATCTCATGGGACACAGGGAAGGCTGCCTCTGACAACTTTGTCTGCTAGTGCCTCTAAATGAAGGACATCCTTCAAAAACTCTGTGTGTGTGTGTGTGTGTGTGTGTGTGTGTGAGTGTGTGAGCACACATGCAGGCTGTGGGCATGCGCGTGTGCGTGTGTGACAATGGACAACCTTTGGCCTTCATCAGGCACTCTATCAACTTTGTTTTCCAAGGGAAGGTCTTTCACTGGCCAGAGTCTTCCCAAGTAGTCTGAGCTTGCCGCACCCCAGGGATCCATGCATCTCTAGCTGCCAGGGCTGGGATTCCAAGTACACACGGCCACATCTGACTTCATTTGTGGGTTCTGGGTACCAAACCCAGGTTCTCATTCTTGCACGTCACATACTTTATGAACTGAGTTCTCTCTCCAGCTCCTAACTTAATTTTAAGTTCTGTTTGCTCCAAGCCTCCTCTTCGACAATTAGATCTGAACTCTCTTTCCCATTAGACATCTCAGTCTGCTTCCAAGGCTGACCGAGTCACCCTGTGGAGGAGTGATCAATCCTGCCTCCTTGTCAGAGTTATTCAAGGGGTGTCGGGAACAGGGTCATCAGGGTGGTGCCCCAGGCTAATTTAGAAGGCATATTTGGGACCAAAGCGTAGTTATGGGCGCCCTCATACTTTAAAGGGTCCAGATGGCTCAGCAGTTAGGTTAAGAGTGTATCCTGCTCTTCTAAGGGACTTGGTTTCAACCACATTGAGCAGCTCACAAACACTGGTACCTCTAGCTCCAGGGGGACCTGACGCCCTCTTCTGGCCGCTGCGGGCACCTGCACTCAGACTCACATGCCCCTCTCCCAACACAAACAGACATGCTTGAAAATAAAATAAAATCTTTAAACGCTCTCTCCTTGACTCTAGTGTACAGTTGTGCTGGAGAACGCACAACTGGGCTCTCCATCTGGCCACTTATACCTAATCAGTGGACACTGACTCTATATTGGGTGTAGTGGCAGTTCAATTGCTTTTTTAACAAATAAAATTTGCCTGAAGATCAGAGAGTAAAACAGCCCCACTGGTCAGCCTTACAGACCAGGCAGTGGTAACACATACCTTTAATCCCAGTAGCCACAATAATTTGCCATAGAAACTGGGCAGTGCACGCCTTTAATCCCAGTGCTGTAACCTTTAATCCCAGCCCTAGAGAGGATTATAAAACGGGAGGAAACAGCTTTCTCTCTGTCTTATCCTGAGATTCCTGGAGGCAGGATCGTCATTTCAGACTGAGGGAGTGGTCAGAGCCAGTGGCTGGCTGCTTTACTTTTCTGGTCTTCAGGTTGAGCCCTAATTTCTCTCTCTGAGTTTTTATTAATCGTGCTTCAGTTAGGTGGGCAGCAGAGTCATTTTTGACACTTAAAAGACTGTGAGTGAGCTGACAGTCCCACCCATGGGGACACGATTTATGAGCCCAGGAGGAATTCGTGCATCCATCCCAGGACTAGACTAGGAAGTCTGCCTGCATCCGGGTGAAGCCACTAAGCTCTGTGTGTGTGTGGGGGGGGAGAGTATGTTGGCTAACGATGATGAGGCCTTCATTAGCAAAGCAAGAGATGAAACACAGAAGAGTGACAGCAGGGACACACACGCACGTGAAGGCCACGCCAAGCACGCATGACCTCAGAGCCATGGCAGAGAGCAACGGAAGTGTCAAACAGTTCTACCTTTGGAGCATTTTTCCATGTCCTCTGAAGACTGCAGCCAGAATGGAACTCGTGTGTCACCACCACAAGAAAATGACAAATTGCTTCCAGTTTGAAATGAGTTCTGCTTCGACAGACTGCTACGCTGCTCATGGACGACAAGAGCAGGTTAGAAATCAAAACAGAGCGCGGCACAGACAGCTTCTAAGGGAAAGGATAGTGGGGTGATTTGGGAAGAACCTTCTGGCAAAGGTCCCAGGAAGAGACCATGATATCTGTCTATCACCCAGCTAAGCCACACCGGGCTCCATGACCTTATCTTCCTTTATGAGATGGTGATACCATAGTAAGGATATGTTGGGAAAGAGTCTGCAATCCTGTATGGCTGTACACACTCTTAATTAGCTACAACCAGCAGCCATGGAGAAAAACCAAAGTCTGTGTGGCTGAGAGAAAACCCAAGCCTTCAGGAATCTCCTTGCTTGAACTCCCTACCTTACTTAATCCATGCTAATTATATCCTGGGTCAGACTCACTGGTCAAGAGACTAGTTAAACACCACCCCAACTTACCCTGCTCCACCCACAAACCTTCCCTCAGACCGACTCCCAGAATGGGCCTCTCTGGTCCCTCGGACTTGGTCTTGGCACCCCAGTCATTACCTTCCTACTGGAAATGGAGTCGAACACTCCTGGGGCAGAATCTGTGACCGTGGGCCCTGGGAAAAAGTGATTGACATCCCGAGGAAACATGGCGATCTCATTCTGCCGGTACATTCTGTGGTGGCGGAGCTTGGATACCCACTCGTCAAAAACTTCGTCGGACTTCACCTACAGGGTGTTAAGTTGAGAGATGTCAAAGAAAGCCACTTGTGGAAAGGATCAAGTGTTCATTAAAATGAGGCCACTCCTGACATTTTGAGCTGGTGCACACGGAAGAGAAGAAATCCCGTTTAATGCTTTGGTTTACATCTTTGTGGAGAACACTTGGGGAAGAGGCATCGTCACAGAACACATATTCTTGTTTCCTCTGAGACGCTCTAGCAGCCCATGCAAAGAGGGCCAGCTTTATTAAACATTTGTCTCTTGAAACATCGCCAAGTTCTCGAGCCCGAGACTTGTCCCCGCTCATGTATCAATTCTGTTCTTCATTTAAACGCTTGTAGCTCAGACTTTGCAGCCAGTCTGAACTGGAATGAAGTAGAGAAGACCCTGAAACACTGGCCTGTATTCATCTACCCTGATAAAAGATGCATGGCCTGGAATGTGTTAACATATGTGAGCGTTAGCCAAAAGGACATTTTTGCCATTTGCTGATAAAGAAAAATATCTGACAAAGCGCTGTCGAGTATTGTTGTTGTTATTACTATGTGCATGTTTATCCATTCTCTCCATAAATGAGGAAATGTAAATTTCGACTTTCCAGAAAAATATTTATAATTAGCAATTTTCATTTAAAAATATTTTTGAGACAGTGTATTGCTATGCAGCCCAGACTGGAGTCAAACTCACTATGTAGCCAAGTCTGGCCTCAAACTTACTACATAGCCCAGGCTGTACTTGGACTTGAATTTAGAAAAAACCCTTCTGAAAGCTAGGATTACAGGCGTAACACCAAGCCTGATATAATGATTTTTATCAAGAAACAATTCAAATGTTCATAAAAGTGTTAATAGGAACATAACAGCAATATTTATACTATAGACATTTCATAAGTCAATATTTTTGTGTGTATAAGAGATATTCATAATTTCAAAGTGAAAAGTGAGTGACCTAGACATCAGGATACAGATTCGTGAAGCTGTCATTTAAAATAAGTCAGAAAGGTGTGTGGTGGGTCAGCGGCCTGCCAGACCAGCGCTGGGACAGTCCTTAGACTGCAGCTGGGACGGAGGGCGCGCAGACAGACAGTAGTAGCAGCATTAGAGAACGGTGAACCTGACTCTGTGGTGTTTAGAGACGCCTGAAGGTGGAGGCTCCTCCTTAGCGCCTGTCTGCAGGGAGCCGCAGCACAAATAGACATACATCTGTCTCCTCTGCACTGTGAGCTCCTGAACGGATTTCATCCCCCAGATGTACTGAAGAGGGGCTTCATAAGAATCTTGTCATCCTTGCACTGATCGACTCCCCAAAGCCCTGACAAGCAAGCCCATAGCTTTTGTCTTGACTCATCTTTTATTGGTTAAACAAGGAGAGGAACAAGGCACTTTATTAAACAACCAACCCCGGTTCTATGATAGGCCCTGCGGTAACTCCAGGACTCTGGCTGAGTGCTTTCTTAACTGCTCTTTTGCTCAGACTCCTCAGGTATAAAAGGAGAGAGAGAATCAAGTCAGGTGTGGTGACACATGCCTTTAATCTCAGCACTCAAGAGGTTTGTGAATTCAAGGCCATACATCCAGACCCTGTTGCCGGGGGTGGGGTGGGCGATTAGGGATAAAGAGGGTGTAGGGAGCCTGCAGCTAACAAAAGGCCTCCATTACAAGCCAGAGTTGACACTCAGGGAATGAACGAGAAACCAAGCAGCACTTAGTGAGTCACAGAGAATCACTGTGTCTCATGGCGTCAAGTCCAGTGCATCTTAGTCTTTAAAAAGCAGACCTGAGTGATCACTTCATTCTGCTAACTAGAACTGCCAATAAGCAAGGTTTCGTTACTCCCCGACCATGTGAAAACACAGAATGACGTCACAGGACCAATACAGGAAAGCAACATCAACTCTTCCAGAAGAGATTAACCACGGTCGGCTGGCAGGGGAGCAGTACATTCTATAACTATTTTATATAATTTTATATAACTAAAGGGTTTTCTCTCCTTTACTTTGCCACAGTTATTTCACTTGAGAGAGTTTCTCTTTCAGGGAACACTTGGAAAGACTTGGAGGCAGTGTGGCTTGCTACCACTAGAGCAGAGACGCCACTGGCACCCAGTGGTAAAGGCCTAACCATAACACCCGGGACAGTCGCACAGCAAAGAATCACCAGCCCACGGTGTCAGCGGAACTGCTTTACACACGAACTCACCCAGAATGCGGGCTTAGATTAGGGGGCAGATATGAGACCTACACACAAGGAGAGGACAGGGACGGGGAGAACCTTGGTTTTCCTGGCCTTCAGTCCCATTCCCTAAATAGCAAGCGACCTGCCTAAGCAATTCTCAATTTATCTCCAGCATTCAGGCACTGCCCAATAATGATACAGAGTAACTAATCTTACTAAACTTACTGTTCCCCAAGGAATTTTAGCAAACTTTATAAACCTTATGATCACGGCCCTACAAATGAGCACTGGAATCACCCTTCTTTCCTTCCTCCCTCCTTCCCTCACCCCTCCCTCTCTTCTTTCCTTTCTTCCTTCCTTCCTTCCTTCCTTCCTTCCTTCCTTCCTTCCTTCCTTTCTTTCTTCCGTCCTTCCTTCCTTTACTTTTGGTAAGGTAACAAAACAAAGCAAAACCAAACAAACAAAACCAAGAATTTTCAAGAATGAGATGACTGGTCAAAGTCAAACAGTAAGCAATCCAGTAAGAACTGATGTTGCCCTGGGCTCCAAGCTTCATGCTTTTATGACATCACTCACCTTCAGGAGAAAGACAAGTGGGTAAAAAGCTTTGAGACTTAAGCTTTACAAACTCCTATTTTAGGAGAAAAAAAAAACCCTGATGTTTCCCTACAATATGAGGATTTTAACAAAGTCTTTATAAAACTGGCTAAAGTCGCAAGTCATGGTCCCACACAGTAAACATCATACTTCAGGGAACCTATTTTAATCTAGGGTCAATGGTTCTACATATACTAAAGACATCCATCCTGGGGGAAGGGGCACAAGAAGGTGTGTTTGCTATTGACTGTTGCCACTGGGGAGAAGTGGTAGCATTTGGGGAAGGGGGACAAGGACTTCAGCTCTTCGAGCCAGGTGAGAGACAGTCCTGCACAACCAAGAAAAAGGCTGGCCCATCCGAACATCAATAGCATCCCTTAGGGACACGTTAGTGACAAAGACTACCCACATGGTGAATAGCTGTCCCCAAGTTTCCAGCAGCGTGGTAGTGGACAATCCCATCGCCGTGGAAGGGCCTCTGCACAGCCAAGCTGGGAACTGTTGGAGCCCAGGAGTTTAAAGCTAGGGCAGGAAAGATAGCAAGACTCTGCCTCGGACAACTCAAACAACCAGCAAAAGCCCTGGTGGCAGCTACTCAGTAGGAGCCAGCCCTGGCTGGGGCTCACCTTCAGGTGGTAGATGTGCTCCTCAGTGTCAAGGTCGATACACTTGGACGACTTCTTCACAGACATCACTGAAAGGCCCACATCAATGCAGCCATGTAGCTTCTCTCGCTCAATCTACAGGAGCAGGAGAGGGCTATCTGAGAGTCGCAGTAGTCAAGGTGGTTGTGACATCCTCCCTGGTCCCCTCCCACCTCATCTTGTTCATGCACCAATGATAAATCTGGACACCACGATTGATGGAGCCCTCCAAGCAAGCAGGACCCAGTTAAGAACTGTGCACGTGTGGCATTCTTTCTCTGTAAGGGAGACACACTTGCCTCACATCACCGAAAAGGAGGATGAAGGGCAGAAGCTAAGTAATGAGTTTTCATAGTCAGGATGCAGGGCAGTGAGAGGAAAACCCCCATGAGGTGACTCTAATGCAATGCAAGAGCCATTACCTTCCCCTGGATTAGTGTCTGTTGTCAATTCATTCATATGTGACTTAGAAGGAGGGGTATAGTCAAGAAACTAAAGAAGACCAGAAGGGTGGGGAGAAAGGAGAGAAGCACCCTATAAGGCAGGCCTGCTGGTCACTCAGAACCCTCCAGGACAGCCTCCTAGGGTTAACTCTAAGAGGAAGTCCACCTTAACCGTGGCTTTCTCCATGAAGCCCCCAGTTGCCAGAAGAGGGAAAGGACACTTGGCACATGCTCTGTTCCTGTAATTAGCTAAAACCAGAGCAGACCTATGGTACCCAGGATGCCGCCCTGCACCTTCTCCTGGTGGTGAATGGAGCCCGCCTAGATCCAGCGCTAAGGCAGCAGGGACCGGGGTGTGTGGAGAGGGCTCTGTGCCACCTGGAAAAACCATTACCCACAGAGAACTGCGGCTCTGGGCTGACTCTAGCAGCCTGCACACCTCTGCAATAGCATGCTGGCCAGGAAGAAGACTTACATCAGTTTGGCTCTTGGCATATTTCAAGATTCCTTTGTCCAGGTAGAAGAATCTCTGTGAGAAGCAAACAGGGTTTAGTAAGATGCACACGCTAACATTCCTCCTCATCACCAACTTCTAACGGAATATGAGAGCTCAGAGTCTTACCTTGTGCCAGCCTTTCAAGGGCCACTTCCTCTTTTTCAGCAGAAATCCTTTCTGCACGGGCGGCTCCTGGGTGTACGTCATCTCCCCCCTCAATCCTTCCACCACTTCCCAGCTGTCCTGTTCCAATGAGAGAGTACAGGCTAAATGTCACCCCTTTACGAGATAGTAACAGGAAGCAGCAAGCTCCTGGAAAACCATCCAAGACGGAGAACCTGACAAAGTTCGATAGGAAGAAATGAAATCTAATGCCCATACATCTCTTGGACTTTATAGATTCCATGCTGTGGTTCAGCGGCATCAATTTTTCAAGCCCTTTTTCTTGAAGGACCATTTCCCTTTTTCAGTCTTCTTTGAACCTCGGCAGCACAGCTGAAGGGGAGGATCTTACTATAAACGCTATTTTTGTCCGCCTTCATGTCACCGTGCAGTGACTGTTCAGCCCGCAGACATCAGCCTGAACGTTAATCGGAAGCCACAGATGTCAGGCTGGAACTGGATGTGTCTGTGCACGTGTGCACATGTTAGGGGGCACCTAAAGAATGGCTGCAATGTGGGGCTAGCGAGATGGCTCAGCAGTTAAGAGTAATGGCCGCTCTGCCAGAGGACCAGAGTTCAGTTCCCAGTGCCCACATCAGACAGCTCACAACTGCCCCAGCAATGTGACCTCTCTTGTGAACTCCACAGGCACGACACGTGACACACACTCACACAGACACATAAACGTGAATAAAATCTTCTGAAAGGAAATAGCTGCAAAAACAGATTGTAGGGATTGGATACAGGCTAGTAAATCTTACAAGCTGACTGGAAATAACGGTTCTGGGTAAGTGTCTTCAAATACGGGGGGGTTTAAGCACAGAAATGCAGAAACATCAAAAAGAGAGTTTGGTCACAAGTACCTTCACTCTTTCCCCCAGAAAAAATTTACACCCCCACTTCTTATCCAAGAGACTTCTATTTAAGATTATGCTATAACCCCAGAACTTGAGAAGTGGAGGTGACCTACGTCATAGAGTAATAAATAATAAAATGAATGGTAAGAACAGCAGCAAAATCCTTGTATTTTGGGCCTGGATTCTTTTCAGCTTTGATGGGGGCACAAATGGCTGCTTTAATTGGTGCTCCATCATTGGCTACTGAGGTCATGAATTGAACACAAATTTCAAAAGAAACAAAAAGAAAAACATTAAAAATTCTGAAAAATTTTTAAAAATACTTAAATCATTGCTAAATCTGCACAAGATAACCCCAGAACTGATGATGTTCTTGTACATATAATAGATGGTGATGATGGTGAAGATTAATTAGGTCATAAATATACACAGAACACACGCAGACTGGAATACAACTTGAAGAGTCTGAATACACACATTAGACATTATATATAAAAAATGTCCCACATCGGGTAATATAGCTTTGCACACATATGACTCTAATATTTCATGTAGATGCCCTGCTCTGAGACAAAGTTTCAACCCTTGGGCAGATGGTACTGGCAGCGGCCACAGGAGTTAGACAGTGAGTCTGGACCAGCCCCAGGGAGCAGGGCAGGTAGGGGTCCTGCGGGGTTCTTTTCCAGGTTTCCCTGGACCAGCCCCAGGGAGCAGCGCAGGTAGGGGTCCTGCGGGGTTCTTTTCCAGGTTTCCAGAGTGCAGCACACCATCTCCAGCAACAGGATCCTTCCCCACATTAGCAACTGAACTCCTAGGTCACCTGCCTCTTATCTGAGTCCTTCCCACTGTAACTGGAGATGAAGGTACATCTCAGGTTTTTAAAATAATCACTGTAGGTATCTCAGAATCTGGAATTCTAAAAGAGATTTCTTCAATGGAGAAAAAAAAGAAGGGGGGATATTCAGTATTTAATTTAGAGAAACTTTTTGACATTGAATGAGATCTCGCCATGACCACCATCAACTGTTCAGCCATTCAGGCATCCCAGACGATAACTATGTCTATTTAGTGATGAGGAACACACGGCCTTTCACGTAGAGCACCACACAATCCTGCTCTCATTTACTTCTCAGGCCAAAAAGTAAGTTTCTGTGCCCCTCCTCCAGAGGAAAGTAAGCCTTCCTCCCCACAGCTCCATCACACCACTGTTCTGCCATTCTTGCCAGTGACACCCCTTTACTCATGGTAACATGTATGAGGTTTCATTATCCCTACAGAGAGGGTGCCCCTTGAGAGCACAGAGGGTCGAGCATACTCCACTTTTCCTCCCGTCTTGTGAGCAGCAGGCACCTGACAGAAAATAACTGCAGTCTTGGAACAAAGCTGCGGCTCATGTTCCTGGAAGACTGTAGTGTGGAACACATTTGAGCGTGCCCAGTGTCCCTGGGCCAAGTGACTGTTTCCAAGTTAGATACAACCGATCCATATTTGTGAACGATGGGCGTGTGTTGGTATCATTACGTGAGAATCCAAGGGCCCAATCCTCTGGAAAGCGCTCCAGTGGATCAGCCTTTTGGAATTGTTAGTCTCCAGCCTCCCAAGCAGAAGGCTGCCCGCAGAGTACTCCACCTGGAGGACTGGGCACATCTGTTTTGTCCCTCCAATTGTCTCAGTGCAAATGCCAAGAGGGAATCTTGGCATACTATTATTATTGCATACTTGTCAATCCTGGGGCACAGCAGAGGCAGGAGGTGTAGATGCATCTTACCTGCTGCTGAATAGGAAAGGATTGAATTTCAAAGGTGGCTTTTTTTCGACCGGAAGTGCTCCACAATTCTACATTTATGGCTTATTCCTCCCAGCCAGCTGGCGTGGAGGCCAAGGGGCTAGAGCAGGTTCCCTCACTCCTCACGTCAATGAGCCAGGAAGGGTTTGTAATTTTTCCCCCTGATAAATGTCATCTTTTTTTTTTCCTTATTCTATCTTCTTCCTAGGTTTGAAAGTGGTAACAGGCTGGAAAGGCAGATTTGCACCACAAAGAAAGGGCAGGCTCTCCTTGGCTAGAGGAGAAGGCATGGAAGCTTTCCCCTGGCTCCCTATTCATTCAAATGCTCAGTGGTGACAGGGACAGGAAGAAGCAGCCCCTAGCTCTGAGGTTCTCGGTGGCCTGAGGCTGCACCCATGAAGCTGGGAATCCTGTGGCAGAGTGGTTATTAACAGTGCTGGGGGAAAATTTCTAGAATCTTGGTTTCAGGTGACAATGAGAAACTTTCTGATTCCTCAGCTTTGCACAATGACAGGGTTGTAAGGACCTACTTAAAGTCACCTGACCATGAAGGGCTGGGGCTGTAGCTCAGCTCAGCCATAGAGTCAGCCAGCCGTAGTGAACTCAATCATAGTAGCTATTCACTGTGCTTTACCGGAATATTTACCACTCAATTAACCTGTAAGTTGTTGTTGCTTTTTCATTTAAGCTCTGGTGTTTTCTTCCTAAACTATCATAGAGATCACTGACTTCAGTTTATGGACAACTCCAGCAGAGGGGTACACACATGGGAGTGGCTGAGAGACTTCTCCCCTTGCTATTTGTTCCAGTCCCCAGGCAAGAAAATAGATTAAACTGTCAATCAAGTAAATGGCATTATAGAGTTGGCTTACAAGAAGGGGTTAAGTTGTAGCCACAGTTCATGACACACCTCTAGAATCACAAAATACTAAACCAACAGTAGGGGTGTTTGAAATAATACATAAGTGAATGATATAACGTTACAGAAAGATTGGAGAGCACATTCTAGATTCACAAAATCATGAGCTTTTTGTCCATAGCGGATATTAATAAAGGCAATGAGAGACTTGGGGAAACTGTCTGATTGGCTAATATCACAGTCTACGTACTGTGAGCTGACACACACTTAGATTATCATGCTTAACCCTTGCATAACCCTTCAAGAGCGTGTTTACTAAGGTTCTTATCTTTTTAATGTAGGAAATGAGGAAAAGAATTGAACAAATTCCCTGATATAGTAAAGCTACCAAGTGGTACCCCATGGCACAACCTGTGAGTTTATTATTCTGCTAGCATTTTAAAATGTTTTCCCTTCTATATTTCAGATGTGTAAATCCCAGTGGTGGATGAGGAATAAATCCTAAGGGGTAAGGGACAGAGGTGGGTAAATCCTGGGACTGGCTCACCTCTTGAGACAACTGGAAAGAGTTAAGAAGCACCGGGCCTGCTCGGAGCTCCAAGGTCTCTGATCTCACAGGGCTAGCGAGTGTGTAAGAAACCAGCCCATGCATCTAATGCTGCTGACCCTTTGCGTACTTGCTCCTTCATGCGTGGAACTGTTGCCTAGCTTCCTTCTCTGGTGATTTTTCATTTCTCCCCAAACCTCTGCCTCCCGGAAGAAAGTCCCTACCTCATCTGAAGGCAGGCAGTAATAATACAAACCCAACTTACACAGCCCTGCTTGCCAAACTCCAGTGTGGGTTCCTTGTCTTATTGTAACCTCGTTCATGATCATCTGTGTCCTCTGGAACTAACAGCTGAACAAGCCTGAGAACAGGAGTGTACAGAAAGGGCCCTGAGGGCCCACAAGGTGTGGTATTCAAGTGAACTGCTTTCCAGAGCAGGGAAAGTGGGGGTGATCAGATGTGGGCTGGGGAGATGATTCAATGGATGAAGGTTGTTACTATCAAGTCTGAAAACCTGATTTCGCGTCCTGGAAGTCCACAGGGTGGAAAGAGAGAACAGACTCCAGGAAGCTGTCTTTGGATCTCCCTTCACGTGCCAGAGCAATGCATGTATGCACATGTGCATTCATGAACACACACACACACAATACACACACACACACATACACACACACATACACACACACCAATGTAATAAAAATAATTTTGAGATGCTAATGTTCCAGGCTAAAGGGATTGGGGAGAGACACCTGATGCCCTCCACATACCATGCTGATTTGAAGGCAGGGCACACACCTTGAGTAGACTAAATACCTATGACACTATATGACAGATCTGGGCCACCAGAGAGACCAAGGTCCTGTAGCAGTTAACTCTGCTGACTGAGCCCAACATGCCTGGGTTAACGTCCCGTCCTGCATGGATCGGACTGAAAGGTCATCTTGAATATTAGCTGTAGAGTGAAACATAGCTGGGGCGTCTCAAGACTTCTGCTAAAGCTCAGCAGAAGCCGGTCTGGCAGTCACCCGACAT